AGCGTCTAATCAGCTCTACGCCCGTGCACCAACTCTAGTGTTGCCTACGTCATTAGCACCGGACACGCCAGAGTAGCGTCCGGTCGGTTTTATCAGCCAGCGTCCTGTCCAACGCCAGGGTTAAGCCACCGGACGCATTCGGTCCCACGAGGACAGTGTCCGGTGCACTCTGTGAAACCCTGTCTTTTCTATACAGGGCGCCGGTGGCACCATCGAACTGTCCACCGGTGAAATTTTGAACCCTTGTTCTTAAGTGGTAAACACAATGTATATCACCTTGTGCACACGTGTTAGCATATTTTCACAAATGTTTTCAAGGGTGTTAGTACTCCACTAGATCATATAATGCATATGCAATGAGTTAGAGCATCTAGTGGCACTTTGATAACCGTATTTCGATACGAGTTTCGCCCCTCTTAATAGTACGGCTATCGATCCTAAATGTGATCACACTCACTAAGTGTCTCGATCACCAAAACGAAAAAGCTCCTATCAAGTTTTACCTTTGCCTTGAGCTTTTTGTTTTCCTCTTTCTTCTTTTCCAAGTCTAAGCACTTGATCATCACCATAGCATCACCATCATCAAGTCATGATCTTCATTTGCTTCACCACTTGGAGTAGTGCTACCTATCTCATAATCATTTTGATAAACTAGGTTAACACTTAGGGTTTCATCAATTTACCAAAACCAAACTAGAGCTTTCACCAGTGGAGAACTAATAATCGATACAGAATTCCCAGAGTTTGCAGCTGATGCAAGAAATTTAAGGTTTGGTTCAAGTACGGATGACATGAATCCTTTTGGGGAGCAGAGTAGCAGTCATAGCACTTGGCCTGTGACGTTATGTGTCTACAACCTTCCTCCATGGTTGTGCATGAAGCGAAAGTTCATTATGATGCCCGTGCTCATCTAAGGCCCGAAGCAACCTGGCAGCGACATTGATGTGTACCTAAGGCCATTAGTTGAGGAACTTTTAATTTTGTGCAGAAAAAAAGGTGTACGTATGTGGGACGAGCACGAATAGGAACACTTTGACCTACGAGCTTTGTTGTTCGTGATAATTAATGATTGGCTTGCTCTAAGTAATCTCAGGACAGACAAACAAGGAATATAAGGCATGCACGCACAGTTTTGATGATACCGAAAGTATATATTTGAAAAAAATGTTGGAAGGTTGTGTACATCGGCCATCATCGATTTCTTCCTCCCAAGCACCCCGTAAGAAGGAAAGGCCAGCATTTTAAAGGTAAGGCAGATCACCGGACAAAGCCTACGAACCGTAGTGGTGATGATGTATTCGATATGGTGAAGGATGTACAGGTAGTCTTTGGAAAGGGACCTGACAGAACCTATTCCGAATGATGCTAATGGACACGCATCCATGCGGAAGAAGAAGTCTATATTTTGGGAGCTACCCTATTGGCAAGTCTGCGCAATCGACGTGATGCACCTGATGAAGAATCTTTGTGTCAACCTGCTAGGCTTCATGGGTGTGTATGGGCAGCATAAAGATACACTGGAAGTATGGCAGGACCTGCAGCGTATGAAAGAACGTGACAACCTGCATCTAGAGGAGGCAGATAATGGACAACAATACTTAAGTCCTGCCAGCTACACTCTTAGCAAAGACGAGAAGGAAAGCATGTTTGAATGCCTAAGCAGTATCAGGGTCCCATCAAGCTTCTCCTCGAATGTAAAGGGCATAATAAATGTGGCAGAGAAGAAATTCCTAAACCTAAAGTCTCATGACTGCCACGTGCTTATGACGCAATTGCTTCCAGTTGTATTGAGAGAGATTCTACATGAAAATGTATGATTAGCCACTATGAAGCTATGTGCATTCCTGAAAGATCCTTGTTTGGTTTTGATAATTGAGTGACAACATTAGATGGACTAATATGTGTTTATGTGAGATACTGAAAGCCCTAAGTTGGTTTTGGATAATTGATGAAACCTATTGGACTAATCCTTTGTCAAAGAGTTTGATTAAGATAGGATGGTCCAAGCCAAATGGTGGAGCTAGATGATGGTCATGGTGATGGTAATGGCCAAAATAAATGATCAAGTGCTCCAACTTGGAAATCAAGAAAGAGAAAAACAAAAACCAAGGATGATCAAGGCAAAGGTATCAAATAGGTTTTTGTTTTGGCACTCAAGACACCATAGAGGGTGTGAGTGTGTTTAGGATAGATAGCCGTACTATGAAGAGGAAAAAATCATGGTTTAATCGGTTATCAAAGTACCACTAGGTGAAGTCATACTTGCATATGCATTAGGACCTAGTGTGATAACAATTTAACCCTTGAAAAATACTTGAAAAAATACTAACACACGTGCACACGAGTTATACACACTGTGGTTAGCAACTTGGAAGAAGGGTGAAGTGGTTGTCGAGATAGAAAAAGAAAAAGGAGGCGTCGGTGTAGGACCGGACCCTCAACCCTGGCTCTGCCACTGCCAGGACCGGACCCTAACAGCCAGAGTCTGGTCAGTGTCTAGACAGAGACCGAGAAGGCCAAATTGTGACCGGACCCGGTGTAGAGAAGTGATCGGACCCACATGCGAGTGTCCGGTCAGTGTTGGTGGCGCGCTCATTGCAAAGCAGAGGGGACCGAACTCCAGGGCACGTCCGGTCATGTTTTTCGCGGTTTTGGAGCTCTCTGTTCGTTTTTACGTCGATCGGACTCTACGTACGCGAAGTGACCGGACCCTGGCTCTGAGAGTCTGGTCATAACTTAGCTATCGCGCGTTTTAAATTTGACTGTTGAGATCGGACGAACGGTGTTCAAAGCGCAGCCATGTGGCGGCCATCTGAGGATCGGACGCTAGCAATCGGACGCTGGGGTGCGTCCGGTCAACGGGTCCGGTCACGCCTGCGAGAGCCCAACGGCTCTTTGAGCCAAGGGGCTCTATAAATAGAAGAGGGCCGGCTCTAGCTCAATCTCTTGCACATTTTCATCAGTGATACATCCTTGTGAGCTAAAGCAAACACCTCCCACTCATCTCCTCTCCTGATTCATCATTATAGTGAGATTGGGAGTGATCCAAAGTGCATTTATTTGAGTGATTGCATCTAGTGGCAGTTGGGGATTGTTTGAGCTGCGGTTTTGTTTGAATCTATGGGAGAAATATTGTTGACATAGGCCTGAATGCTGATATAACAAGATCACAAATCTCTGTTATGCTGCCCTGCTATGTGCGTATTATATTTTCAAAGTTTGTTTGGATGTGGTTTTCAAGTCATCTGTATTGATTCTTGAAACCCATTCCAAAGGATGTCCTGGCAATGGACAAACTGGTTTGTGTGATTGGTTCTTCAGTGACAATCTGATGCTTGGTTCTCAAGTGCCAATCTCAATCATCGGATATCTTGATCCATGTGTCATCATTTGCAGTTGTATTGATATGCTTTGCTTACCCAGCAGCATTAGTGTTGTTGAAATTTGAATGCCTTGGCAAATGGCAACCATAACAGCCTCACGTGAATTGTCTGAATTATAGATCATCTATTATCTCTAATTTTGGTGAGGCTGTCTTAGGGCTAGCCTGGCTTGGATCTAACTGACCAGGCTAGACCAAGCATGTCTTGGAAAGATCATGTGTGGTTTCTTAACTTATATGGTGTGATGATGTTGTCATTGTTGCGGTGCGCTCTTTGTATGTGGTCTCTTTTAATATAAATTTACGTGCTAGCAATAAATTTGGTAATCAACAATTTTAGTTTCTATAGATCAAAAAAATAAGTAATCAAATTTCTAAGATAGAGGAAGGCTTGCCGTTTGTGACAATGAATAAAATGTTAGGAGACCACCAAATGCAAATTGAGACGATGAGCACCTTGCCGCCGAGCTTACTGATATGCGACGAGAGGCCCGGCCTGGAGTGGCCTCGCATTTTCACAGGTCTGGAAGCCTGTTGGGCTCATGTCTTGTTGCCCTCAAATCCGTCTGTTGCACCCGTTTTTTATTTTTATTTTCAGATTTTTACAATATAATTGTTGTGACAAAAAATTGCAAATTTATACATATATAGCCATTCAATACCTTACCGCCATTTGAATTTGTGGTATGTCCCTTCTCTGCGCAGCACATCTTTAAAAAATCATATCTTTTTTATATTAACTCAGGATGAAAATAAAATTCATATGAAGATTATAGAGTTTGACGAGATCTACAACTCTTCCGTTCACAACTTTTTTTAGATGAGATCACAAGTCTGATTTGATCCCAAGAATGAAATCCACTTCAGCTAGTTAACTTTGTTTTGAAAAAGCAGCAAACGGATCCATCGATCCCTGTTTCCCTCATCATTCTGCATGGTGCGTAGTTGACAAACAATGTGAATTTTTTTCTTTGTTATCTTTATTTTTTATAAAAACCAGAGAAAATATATTATTGCAGCAGCACACTTATAAAGAGGCCCTCCAAAGAGGAGCCAGTTACAGATTGGACCCAAACAAGATAGGCCACAAAGCAGGGAAGCAAACCGACAACGTCGATGCCGAGAAGCTCGCCGGCGAGGGCCACCGGAGGCGTCAGCGTCACCATGGACCCATGAAGACGCTTGGGGCCGATGTGAAGAGTCCTCACAAGGAGGATTGAAGTGGATGAAGAAGCAGTGAGTGAAGAACGTTGCCGGCGACCCAAAGACGAGTGATTTTTAACTTTTTGCCATGGTTACGGATGGCCTCCTCCGTTTGTCATCTTTATGCGTGCCCCTATATATTTGTCATCGCAAACAGTAACCCTCCTACGTTTTTGTCATTTTTTCTGAGGTGGCACGCCAGATGGGCACGCCAGCGTGGCAGCGAGCCTGAGAAGGCCTACATAGCATGCAAAATGACCTATGTACCCCTGCTGCTTCTCTCCCTCCCATCGCTGACACATGGGCCCCACATGTCAGCTTCGTCTTCAACCTCCCGCCATCCTGGATGAACAGATGACGCTACAGGAACCGTTGGGAATCAGAAGATCGATGATGGGCATGGATGGATGAAGAATCAATTCTTAAATAAATAAATTACGTACGAGATGCAGTCGACGGGGCAGGTGTTGATGGCGTCGACGATCCTGTCCTCGTCGTCAACCGACTGCGCGATGGCACGGGCACGGTCATAGACGGACTCGGGGCCGAGCCAGGAGGAGTAGAGCGGGCGGGCCGTGTAGCCGGCAAACTCGGAGCGGGGCCCCTGCTCCTGGTCATAGGCGAGGCGCGCAGCCGTGTCGGAGAGCAGCGCGTACACCTCGTTGAGGACGACGGCCATGTCGTGCCCGCCCGCGGCGCCGGCTACGTCCAAGTGGCACCGCTTCTGCAGCAGCCGGTACGCCGCCTTGATCTCTGACTGCGGCGACGACCGCTCCACGTCCAGCAGCTCGTACAGGTCATAGTCCGACACCCACGAGCCGCGGACGCCCCCGGCCTATAGCCGCTGTCGCCGCCGCCGCCGGATGCTTTGGCTCGGCACCAGTGGCCAGCGCTTGCTCGCCGTGCCGTGGCGGGCCGCGAGGAGCATAGCCTTGGGGCGGCAGGGGAGACCGAGACGATGTTGATGAGAAGCGCGGACATGGCAGACCGTGCGGTTCAGCAAGGCATGCCGGAGGTTGAGGAGTGGCAGCAGCTCGACTGGGACTGCACGAGTTCCCCCTTCCCTCTCTGCGAGGTGATGGCGGGAGGTTGAAGACGAAGCTGACATGTGGGGCCCACGTCTCAGCGATTGGACGGAGAGAAGCAGCAGGGGTACGTAGGTCATTTCACATGCTCTGTAGGCCTTCACAGGCTCGCTGTCACGCTGGCGTGCCTATCTGGCGTGCCTATCTGGCGTGCCACCTCAGCAAAAATAGCAAAAACATAGGAGGGTTACTGTTTGCGATGGCAAATATGTAGGGGCGCGCATAAAGATGGCAAACGGAGCAGTGCCATCAAAAAGTTAAAAATCCCCAAAGACGAGGATGAAGACCACGCCGACGGGAAGGAGACAACTTAATCAGAGCCGGTGGAAGGCTCATAGCACGACGGGCAATGGAGGCCCACAGGGACCAGAAGAGGGAGACACACATAGCTAATGCAATAGGAGGTTGGGCAATGCGGAGGCATGACCGAAGCTACCCGAAAGCAATGGAGACGCCGACAAATCGCCTAAGAAGCCAAAGGATCGACCAAATCCACCTAGGCTCTGGCATGATTTTAGGCGATAGGGACGAGTTCCACCAAGAACACGGTGGAGACAAACAGATTGGGCTAGCGGGGTAGGGAATTTATTTTATTCTGTACCTGAGTAGCTCCAGCAAAGGAAGCACCAGCGGGGACCTCACCGGTGAAGGTGAGTGAAAGTGCACATGACCTCCCGAAGTGGGTTTTGTGTGATTGATGACAAAATGCTTGAAAAACTAATGTTTTATCAAGTGATGGACATGTGTTAATCCAAGCATGAAGATCATGGTGATTGGAAGCCTCCAAAAAGGAAGATAAAATGTGGCACATAGACCTAGCTCATAGTTTAAATTTATTTTTATTTTGAAGTTGAGTGTAGGACTATTGTACTATCAAGGGGGACACAGATTCTCCTAGATTGTTTAGAAGAGGTGCTCAAGACGAATTAACAAAACATGAGAGACACTTAGCACATACACATCACTTGTTATCATGTTATGTGCAGGAAGTCCGGAATTTCTGGCATTGCATCCTTCTTCGGAATTGTCCAGAGTTATGTATCTAGAGTTTTCGAACTTTGAGTGTCTAATGGATACTTTTTGGTTAATGGGTATTTCTACCCCTTCACCCATCAAATTCCCTCTCTCTCCACCTAACTTGACCTGAGCTCGTCCCCTAGCATTGAACGCTCCTCTTTACTCCTCTCTTGGCCTTGTTAGTGAGATTTGGTGAGGGATTGTAAAGGGATTCAAGGAAGAGCAAGTAAGAGTGCTAGTGACTTGATTCCCCCATCTCTTGAGTACTTCATCCTTCGTCAAGCCAACGAATTTCGTGTTTGCTACTCTTGGAGCTACTCCTAGATGGCTAGGCATTGCTCGGGAGCTCCAACTTGATTGTGGCTGACCCGGGAAGTGTGTATTACCCCGTGAAGTATAAGCTCTAGGGTCTTTGAATCCTAGAGTGACAAGCTGGTTTAGGTGGACAAATCCACCCTTCATGGGCCACGCAATGGATACGTAGGTTCACTTGTGTGGGAGTTGAACTCCAGTAACTAAATCCTTGTGTCTTTGTGCTTGAATCCTAGCTTTGCTTGTTTGTCGTTCGTATTCATCTGTTTCTAGGGTTTGGGCTGAGTTTGGTTGGTGATATTAGTGGATCTACACCTCTTGAATCTTGGTGTTTCACAGATTTCAAATTGGTGGACGTTTGCTTAACCGATAGTTTGATTCAACGAAAAAATTCTAGAGTTACCGAAGATTTTTGTGGAATCTCCGAATCAGTATAGAGTTTCCCAAATCTCTGTTATCTCTGCTCTTTACTGACAAATTTGTTTAAGTTGTTGTAAATTTTAGTAATGACTATTCAACCCCCTCTAGTCGTCATCAAATATCCTTTCAGTGAGGTACAAGATGGCGGCGGCCATGACTGCGGCGGTAGTGGAGGCATGGCTTGGTGGGGGGTGGGGGCAGCTCCATCCGGAGAAACTATAAATATAATAGAAAAATATACAAAGAAGAGGAATGGCCTCCCCATTGCAGGTGAAAAACACCGGCAAGGGAAGGAAAGGGGGCCGGGATATGGGGCTTCGTGGGAGACTTCTGGAGGAGTCCGGGGAGGGCGAGAGGATAAGGTTTTGGAGGAGAGATTCCGTAACCTTTCTTCGTTATCTTGGGAAAGTGGTGGTCCAGGTGAAAGGTTGTGGTAAATCAACATATTTCATGATGGCTCTGCCACATTCTTTTCATACAAATACAACATTGGTGCATCGCGTGGGGTAGTGGGTTTACATAATTTTTTTTTCAAAAAAGAATTTTTTTTATGATGAAATATGCATGCAAATGAAACTTATCTTATGCCACACCTCATTTGCAAAAATGTACAGTTAAGAAAGAAAGAATGAGGAGTAAAACTCATCTCTTATACAACTTAAAGAAACAACAACCGCTGAAGATCATGCCACATTAAAAGTTGGCTTCAAATCACCTCCAAGTTGCTTTCCTGGCTACAAAGCAGTTTCTTACTTTCTTTTATGTTCCTCGTTTTAACCCCCAATCTAAACGTTGAACTTCCTCATAACTTTGGTTTTCCTCATTATATATATTGAACCTTTTAGAAGCTCTCCTTTTCAAGTATTCAACTGACTGTGTTTGAAACTGTCACATTGGAAAGCTATTTGGAAAATTATGGTCAAACATTTCACAATAAAAAGAAAATTCAATGCCCTAGGTTGTGAGTTGAACTATGCTCAAGAGTGACCAGAACCAATCCTAACAGCCCCTGATTGTCCACCCTGATAGTTTTTTTGTGAAACAAGTCATTATCTACTCAATGAAAGCGGAAACAATTGATAGGATAACTATTTCCATTGGCTGGATTGGCATACCTAGAGCACAGTAGCACACAGGTTAGACAAGAGGAAACAGCCCTGCCTCCCACTTGTCTCACTGCGTTTGTGGCCCTCCATGGTCAGATTATTTCTCCCAAAGAGGGAAAAAAGTAGCGTTGTGGAGCGCTCATGCTGCTCGCACAACGTCAGCCACGGTGGTGGCTCCCTGACATGATAAGACGGCCTCTTGACCCCGCGCCCCTCACCCTTCCACCCACTCGCTAGTCCGCAGGGATACTTGCAACTCCTCTCCCCCTCTCCTCTTCTAGAGACTTCTGCCAGATCTGGTGTGTTGCACCGTTTCTTTGCCGGTGACAATCAGCAGCCGCCCCCGCCGCCACCCGGAGACAAGGATCTCGCAGCAGCAGCAGCCGCCCATGACGAGGAGTTCGTACCAGGTAACACCGCCTCACCCCACCCTCCCCCTTTGCCCTCACCCTGTCCTTTGAGACGTATGTGTACCTCCGTGGTAAAGATCGCCATAGCATTTCGCGTTTGCAGCCTTGCTCAGTTGCTCGCTACTGCATCCTCACCGCCTACCTCCCGAGCTGGCGCGGATCTCCCTAATCCCATGGCGCATGGCAGCGGGAGGTCGAAGGAACCCTGGGGCCAAAAAATATCTTTTTTTTCCTGCTCGCCACCCGGCTCCTCCGGTCAACAGTCAATAAAGTCTGGCTTGCCGGCCGACGACCAGCTTCTCGCCGACGGCGAGGTGGGGCGAGAGACAGAGCCACGCTCCAAAACCCCAGTTTTCCTAAAACCCTAGTTTAGGTTGGATCAATGGTTCAAATAGCAGGCTATGATATTTAGCGGCGACTTTCTCCAAAAGCTATAAAAAGCTATAGCGGGATATAGCAGAAGCTATTCATTTAGTGGTTTTATAGAAAACATAAAATTTCTTAACGAACTATGCACGGAAATATTTAACTAGACAAAACAATTTATGAACATAAATACTCAAATACATGTAGAATATCAAGGAGAATATTTTTTAAGTCCATTATATTGAAACCAGCGGCACATGTAGGATATCTAGGAGAATATGTTTTTAAGTCCATTATATTGGAACCGGTTGTTCTGAACAATTGAGAGAGGGTGGAGAGAGCTCGGCTTTGGAGAGGGGACACACCGGGGGTGTCAACAAGTGGAAATGAGTGGGAGGCGAGTTCCCTTGCCTTCATGCCCTTGGGGCACTTATATGAGCAATGACTATTTACATGTGGCCCTTTGGTGGGGTTGGATTTCACATGACACTACTCTGGCTACTAGTTGGGCCTCTTCTAGGGGAGACTTGCTCAAGGTCTCCCCCAACATCACCCCAGCAAACACATCGGTGGGAGGGGCTTCGCCAACACTTCAGCTTATACAATGACTCACTCACACCAACACTTCGACGTGAGGGGCCTCAATATCATCTCCAACCCCACCAAGGGAGCACTTGTAAATAGCCATTACGTATCTAAGTGCCCAAGGGCATGAGGGAAGGGGCCTCACCTCCCACTCGCTCATTTCCACTTGTCTCAAATCCTAGTTTGTCCTCTCTCCACCACCGAGCTCTCACCTCCCTCCCTCCCTCCCTCCTCCCCTCTCGGCATTCAACATGCTATTATGATAAATGTTAAGTAAATCATCAATTCCAACACACTACCTAACATTTATCATATGAATCAACATGCTATTGTGATCAGCACTCGACATTCAACAATTCAATAATCATTTAGTGGTTT